GGGTTCTCGACGTCGGTCGCGATCTCCTCGAGGGCGTTCGCGATCACGATCTCGTTCGCCACGAGGAAGGCGGCCAGAGCGGCGAGGAGGCGGATCATAGTGCTGCTGTCGGCGCGCTTCAGCGTTGTCACTGCGACTGCGATCGGTGCCGCGGGGTAAATAAAAGCTGCTTCTGTCAGAATGAGGCATCGTATCGGACGACCACTGCCAGACGCCTCCGCACTGTAGCCACCGGAGACCGCTGTGACTGTGCGGGCGCTAACGAGGGTTGGTCGTCGCACGAGAAAATGGAATGTGTTATGGGTAGCTGTCGTGGCCGCTAGGCCCAGCTGGGAGGCTAGAACCTTCGCGGGAGGGAGACAGACTCTTGGCCCCAGCAGCGCGCAGCTCGACTGGGGTTGCCTGGAACGGAAGCTAGCCTCGGACAAGAGGTATCCACTTCTGGTCCCGAGGACAAAAACATCTTGAGCCAAAATGGCTTGAGCCAAAATGGCTACGGAAGGAGGAGGAGGATTAACATCGACGCAAAGCTACCCCCACATGCTCACAGGTGGTGGGGTGAGGCCACCTGTAGCGTGAGTGCACCTGCCGTGAAGCCCACCACAAGCATGAACCCGATGAAGACCTCAACGAGCAGGAGCACGCACGGCATCATGAGGAGCTACTAGAGTCGCCCCAATCCTCGTCGAATAACCGGCTGAGACACGAACTGTGCAACGTAGCACGGCAGCGCGGACAGGCTGCCACAACCGCTTCACGAGGAATGGGAATTCCACACGCCCTGCATGAGCACCTCCCTGGCCCGCGACGCCGACGAACGAGGGTGCGATCGCAACGGGCGCAACCAGGATCTGACCCACTGACCTCGAGCAACCACGGCGGTACATCAGGCTGCCGCCGCACGAGGCCCGCTTCACGGATCGCCTTGTCTCTACCGTCGAAGGGGGAGGAAGAGTAGACAGCCGAAACCTGCGCGCAACCGAGCTCCACGCCCACACCCCCACAGGCGACCTGAGCGGCAGGCTGACCCAGAGGAGAGACACCTTGAGAATGAACCGGTACTTCACAATCGAAGCGAGAGATCACTCCCACGGTCGTCGAGAACGGAGCGGCCACCATGCAGCCCTTGGAAAAGCAGGCCCTCCCCAGGGGCATGTGTGGCAGTCCCGTCGGTGTCCATGAGCTGCTGGGTACATCTGGTTCCACACCGGCCACAGAGCCACTTACGCCCAAAGAACCTGCGGCTACCCGAGCAGCAGCTTGCAGGATACCACCCCCGACATCCGCAGCGCCAAACTGCGGCTCCCAGGCCGTGCCGAAGGAACCGAGGAACGTGTCAGACTCGTGCTCCACGACGGGCACCGCGTTCGCGACCACGCCGAAATGCTGCTCGACGAATTCCAGGTTTTCGGCATAGCCTGGCACAGGGGAGCGCGGCCGCGAGGCGCAAGCCAGCCTCCAGGCCATCCCCGAAGGCCTTTGCCTGCAAGGCTGGGGCCCCAAGCGGGACCTCCCAGGTGCCAGGAGCCAGTGCCACGCCGATGGAGACGACCTGCGCCGCCTCCTCGCCCCGCACTGGTCTTGCAGCGAACCCAAGCCTCGGCCAATCAGCCTCATGCGGCTCGAAGGAGTCAGCGTCGTCGCACGGAGCCGCACTGCGAGAGGGCTCTGGGGCAGCAGCGCAGGCGCCAACGCGAGGACCAGCTGCTGCCCAAGCGATCCCGTTGCCGTCGGCTGCGGCGAAGCCACCGGCTGGCGCGAGAGCCGCGTGCCAGGCCGCGTTTCGCCGCCTACGCGTGGCTCCTGGCACTGCCGCGCCGGCCGACAGGAGCTTCAGCGCGGGTCCCGCCGCCGGAGCCTGGCTCGCCGACGCAAGCACGTGCGCGCAGAGCAGCATCGAGAGCATCCCGAAGGCGCCGACGAGCAGCGCGGCGAGCCGCCGTCGGGCCGAGGACAACGATGTCGGCGGCACGCAAGGCGCTGGGCCGCCGCGCACTCGGGCAGCCCCCCGCAACAATCCAAGGCGTGCCCGCCGCCGCCGCCGCCGAGCCACCGACTATGGGCGAAAGGCTGCGGAGAAAGCGGGGAACACGGCTTGAGCCAAAATGGCTACGGAGGAAGGAGGAGGAGGAGGAGAAGGAAAAGGAGGAGGAGGAGGAGGGGGAGGAGGAGGAGGAGGAGGAGGAGGAGGAGGAGGAAGAAGAGCGGCCGCCCACACAGATCGTGTCACACGGGGAGCTTCACCTGCGGCATCCCCGTCGGGCGCGCAGCGCGCAGAGCACGAGCAGGAGGGGCGCGCCTTGCTCTGCACGCAGCCTTACAAGAACTGGCCTCCTCGCCACACGGATTGGCTCGGGGAGGATCGAGGATCGAGGTCTGGAGGGATGTGGGAAGGGTTGAGAGTGAGACCAAGCTATGTAGCGTTGTGGCCTGTCTGGGGTCTCCAGAAGCCTCCAGGGGCCCACGGACCCTGGGGACCCCTGGTGACCTCCAGAGGCCTCTGGAGGCCGAGGCATCCAACGCCTCGAACGGATCAAGATGGTTCGCTGTCTCTCGCTTTGGGCCTCCAGGTGGAACGCACAAAGACAGCCTCGCCTCAGAGAAGGGGTCGAGGGGTACAGAAACTCACATCACGAAACAATGGTGACGTCAGATGCAGAAAGCCTGAGGCGTAGGAACTTGACCCTGACACCCCCTTACTCTGCCAGTCCCAGTGAGCATTGGCTACAGCTCGACACCAGCACCAGAAACGCTTCCTGGGCACACTTGGGAGCGCTGATGCAGATGCGCATATGCGCAGGATCTGCTCCAATTACTGCTGCCGTTGCTTGTTTTGGCTGGTAACTGCACAGTGCTGCTGCTTGCTGCTGCTTGCTGCTGCTTGCTGCTACTTGCTGCTACTTGCTGCTACTTGCTGCTACTTGCTGCTACTTGATGCTGAGTGTTGCTGCTTGCTGCTGTTTGCTGCTGTTTGCTGCTGTTTGCTGCTGGTTGCTGCTGTTTGCTGCTGTTTGCTGCTGTTTGCTGTTTCTGGTTGCAGATGATCGCTGTTGCTTGTTGCTGCTTGCCGCTGCAGGTGATTGCTCCTGCTGTTTGCTACTGCTGTCTGCTGTTCCTGGCTCATGCTGGCTCCACTGCTGTTGCTGGAGGGTCTCGGGGCACTCTTGGAGGCCCTTCGCCTTCCTGGGTCGTTGTCCTAGGTATATTGGGCACCATTGGGTTGTGCTCCCTTGGGGCCCTGTTCGGGTCTCTTGGACCGTCTTGGGCCGATCCGGAGGCCATTTTGGGCTGTCTTGGGAGGATACTCGAGACCTCTGAAGGCCGTCCCAGGCCTTCCGAGGTCCTCCCAAATCCAACCTCGAGCCGGAAAACTTGGGATACAGAAGGCATTGAATGCGTGGGCTCTCTGGGAGCCTCTCCTGGGGCATCCCGTGCGCATCATGGGACCTCTGGTGGCCTCTCGGGCCCTGCTGGACCCCTCTCGGGCCGTCACGGCGGCCTCTTGGGCGCCTCTTGGCGCGTGGGCCAAGAGGCCAAGCAGCAAACTAAATGATGTTGCTGCGAGCGATCCCCACCGTAACCTTCGGCGTACGTTATCATATGAGATGTTATGCCATGATGTGTATCATTATGCTATGTTATGTTATGTTGTGAGATGTGGTGGTATGATATGTTATGTGTGACCCAGTATGTAATAGCTGGTGGTGTTGTGTTATGATGTGTGTTACTATGATATAGTAGAATATGCCGCGCTACGCCATGGTATGCGTTGTCACGGCATGGAATGATATGGAATGCGATGATGTATTATGATGTGGTGTGTCTATGACATCGTATCGAATGTGATGCCATGTTATGTCATGTCAACGTATGGTATGCTATGATATGTTGCGTATGATCCGAGCTACCATAGCATACGTTGATGTGCTGTGCTGTGCTATGATTTGGTATGTCATGTAATGTGGTGATGCGAAATGCTCTGATTAGGTCTGCTATGTTGTGCAATGATGTGTTATGGAAATATTGTTTGGACCTGTTATGGTATGATACATGCTATGATACTGTGCTGGGGTATGCACTGGTCTGTCATGATGTGTATGTTACGATATGTCATGTCATGATATGGTATGTCATGCTCGGATATGTTCTGTTCGGTGGTGTGGTGTTATGCTCTATTATGTGGAGATCTGGAGGCCGCGGTATGCAGAGTGGGCGAGTCGGCGCGGGGGGCGGGACCCTCAGGGATTCTCGGGGGACCTGGTGTTCTGGCGGCCGCAGTATGCAGAGTGGGCGAGTCGGCGCGGGGGGCGGGACCACCAGGGGTTATCGGGACCCTGGGGATCTGGCGGCCGCGGTATGTAGGGCGGGGGGTGGGTGGGACCACCAGGAGTACCGGGAGCCTGGGAATCTGGCGGCCGCGGTATGCAGGGCGGGCGGCCTGGGAGGTCTGCCCTACACGACCCCAACCCGTCGGATTGGGAAAGAGATGGGCCTGGCCCCTGCACGGCGAGGAGGGCGACTGCAAGCACACATCCGTGGAGCATCTGGGCAGGAGGAGCGGAAGGGGAAGCAGCAGCAGCAGCAGGAGGGGCAGGACGGGAAGGAAGGAGGAGGGAGCAGGGGCGGGGGGGAGGGAGGAGGGCCCTTTTCGACCTTGCTCTGCTGATGCCTGCTGATGCCTGCTGCTTCCCTCACGCTGCTCCCTGGCTCCGCCTACCGCTGCTGGTGCCTATTGCTTGCGGCGGCCACTTGCCGCTGCTTGCTGCTGTCGGCGGCGACGGCAAGGGGCGAATAGCCCAGGGGCGGGCGCCACGCGCATTCGCCTGGGAGCCTCTCCGAAGGCATGGATCATCGGCGCCCCTGGATTGCTCCCCCCTTGGGCTATCCGCCTCTCCCGTCGCCTCCGATGCTGCGTTGCTGCTGCTGCTGCTGCCGCGCGCTGCTGCAGCCTGCCGCTGCTGGCTGCTCCCGGCGAGGGGCGAAGGAAGGGGGCGCCCCGCCTTGGGCGCGCAGCGGCCGAAGGCCAGGGCGCGCGGCAGGAGGTCCCGCAGCATGTCTGCCACCAGCTCCTCGCCGGCGGCGAGGGGAGAGGGGGAGAGAGAGGCGGAGGCAAGCGGGAGAAACAGGAAGGGGGAAGGGGGGGGCACCGAGGAGAGGGAGGGAGGGAGGGAGCGAGGAGGGGAAGGGGAGGGGGGCGGGGGAGGGGGAGGGGAAGGGGAGGCGCGAGGGCGAAGAGGGAGAGGGGAAGGGGGGACGAGGAGGAGAGGGGGAGGCTCGTCGTTGGGGACGGGCCTAATTCCGAGCAGCCCACGAGCAGGCGGAATCTTGCGCGTCGGAGCCTTGGCGCCCTTTTGGGTGTCTTGGAGCCCTGTTGAGCGCCTCGTGTGCCGTCTCCGCGAGTCAAGCAGCGGAGCAGGCGACCACACGAAAATCCTTGAAAAGCCCTAGAAAAAAATGTGTTTCGCCCCTGGAGCCTATCGTGGATCAGCTTGAAGCTCTCTCAGGGCGTCTTGGAAGCTACGTGAGCCCGCATCGGAGCAATGATGGATGTGCTGGGGCCGTTCGGGGGCCCTGTCGGCCTCGTTTAGGGCCCTGGTGGCGTGTCCGAGCTCATGTGGAGGGCCGCCTGGAGCCCTCAGGACCGTCTTGGCGCCCTTTTGGAGTGTCTTGGGGCCCTCTTCGGCGCCTCTTGTGCCGTCTCCGCGAGTCAAGCAGCGGAGCAGGCGATCACACGAGAATCCTTGAAAAAGCCTCCGGGGAACCAATGACGTTCGCCCCTGGGGCCTCTCTCGGGGATCAGCTTGAAGCTCTCTTGGGGCGTCCTGGAGGCCACGTGAGCCGTCTCGAAGCAATGGTCGGCGTGCTGGGAGCGTTTTGATGCCTTCTATCTGGCCCCCTTGAAGGCCCGTTTTGGTGCCCTCTGGGCCCCCTTGAAGGCCCTTTGGCGGGTCGAGGCCAGTCTGGGCCACCCCGGGCCTATTCTCTGTGTATAGAGAGAGAGGGAAGGAGAGAGAGAGAGAGAGAGGGAGACAGGAAGGCGTGAAGGAGAGACAAGGAAGAGGGAGGAGGGATAATGAGGCAGCGGGGAGGAAGGAGGAGAGAAACGAACAAGATGTGGAACGGAAGACGGAGGAGAGACAAAAGCAGGAAAGAGAG